TTACACTGGGCCAGTAGATGTAATAACTTTAATTTAAATAGCACTCCAAACTTAATGCCACACTATTAATTTGAATGGGTAAAAAGTCAGTGAGCTCCCTATTAAACGTTCATTAAAACTATATGAAGAGATTTGCCAAGAGGAGAAGCACTGCACACAAAAACAGATGATGAAAAAAAAGGCACAACAAAAAGGTGTAAAAATTCGTATTTATATCGTGGTGAGATACTGATCCAGCGCAATAGTCCGTGTGCTGCAGAACACAGCAGGCACCACGCTCGCGTGTACAAATGCAGCTCCCCAACGTAACGCATCGCACGGACGCTGACCGGTGCTTTTGGCTGCAGGTCCCGCCGGCTCTGGCACAGAACCCACCTGGTAACGACATCAGATAATTTGAGTTTGGAGTAAATTAGTCGGTACAGCAGAAGGCTCTTTCAGGGCACGCACTCTGAAAAACTGTCACCTAGACTGCACAGAGCCCTTAGCTGACCTGAATGATCTGTGTCCACCCTGCACACCCCTTGGTGCAAAGCGGCAGGAGGAAATTCTCAAATGAGTCACCTTCACTCTGCTTTGCTCAGCAACAGTGCTCCTGGGGCACAGGCAGCACCAGGAACTTTTTGCTGGGAGTAATTTGTAACATTTTAGAAAGAGCAGCCAACATTACCAACTCGTTTCTAATGGTCTGTTTTATATATGCCCTGCATTTTAATTTTAGGTAGCTACATAACACACTTGCTTTGCAGCTCCCAATTAAGACTATTGCGATTAGTTACTTATGCAAATTGCCTGATTTCACTGCTGAGAAAACTTCTATTAACTTCTCACACGTTTGCCTCATTAGTTTTATTGGAGCTGCAACTGTTCTTTAAAATAAAGAAATCCAATTCCATCCTCCTTCCACAAATTTCAAAAGCACCATTAGTGCCTTGAGTATCAACACTCTTCTTGGTTCCTACACAGACAAAACCATCGGCTGGTAGTAAACAAACACATTTGTGGAAGAATCTGCGTTGCAGACATTACATTTATCGATACCAGCATTAAATAGAAGTGTTTTTTTTTTTTTTTTCCACAGGGATGATCTGTGAGGATGAAAATTGCAGTGATAGTTTGGAGTCTGTTTTCACGTGGTGAAGTGGGGAAATGATCACTTCTCACCCTGGCGAAGGAGCTCCCCGCAGGCAACGTACACCCCGCGAGCGCGGGAAGGCGCCGGCAGAGCCGCCCATCACCTCGCGCTTCCCCACATCTCCTCTGCGGGCACTGAAGTTCTCTCACAGCCGCCGGTGACGCACAGTGGGCAGCAGACTCTCCAGGTGCTCGCACTCATCGCAATTTACTTGTAGTACCTACAGCAACAGAAATGACTCTCTTAGAAGTAATATTATGAATTTGTATAGCTGAATTTCTACCCATGAATGTCAAGAAGGGAAATAGCCTTTAGGGCCAAGAAAAATTAGATGCAAGATGTATTGGCCTCCAAACAAACAAACAATTATTTTTGTCATCCTATATTTACACTAATAAATTAATGTTTTGAATATACATTTGTCCAAAAATATCAGATAAAAACTTTGTCCTTGTGGATTTTTTTTGCCTTTTCAGGTCATATTTTAATCTGATAAAACTCCCGTTGGATTCAGTTGTGCTTTTGTACAAGAAAATAGAGGACCCAGTCTTGGGCTCACTCTGTGTTGCAGGATTTCCGCTCGCCAAACCTTCCTCTTTCGGAAAGACAGATAAGCCAAGCTCAGCGGGCTCGAGAGGACACGTGCTGGACCAGGACAGGATGGGAGCGAGGCAGTATCCACGGACCTGGTTGCAGCCGAGAAGCTGCAGAGAGTAGCTGTTAGCCATTTTAGGCCACCCTCTTTCTGCCGGTTCCAGACATCCCACTGACACCTGCGTGGTGCAAAGCAACGGGCTTCCTCTTCTGCTCTAGACGGACAGGCAACAGGCCAACCCCTGTGTCTCCATAAAAAGAACTGCTTGATGACTTCATCTCTCCAGAGCCTTTTCCACAGAGGAAAAGATCTCGCCCTGTAATCTTTTCTCTGCTCATTCTTTCCGCCGGTGGTAATTGCAGAGGAAAACAAAAGGTGAGCACAGAAGCAATGTACCTGTTGAAAGCACCGTCATGACACAGAGACCTGCCAGGCGGCGGGAGCATTTAATCTCGGAGCAAGCAGCATTCCCTTTTCAGCATTGTTCCCTTTGGAGCAGCGTTCTGTTTGCCAGCAGCATTCCCTTTGCAGCAGCATTCCCTTTGGAGCTGCGTTACAATTACAGCTGCACGCACACCTCAATGCGCGCGCACCCGTGGAGCACGCACACTAAATCTCAGCTTCGCGCTCACAAAACGCAACGCTATTTCCATCCCTAGGTGACACACCCCAGGGCACTAAGGCCACAGGGAACACTGCACTGGTTGCTATGGAGAATGGTGAGAAAAGCCCATTTGCAGCAGCCTGCAAGGACCCTCCTGTCACCGCTGCAGGTGGCCAGGGCAGGACGGGGCCACTTGTGCCGGTGGCCAAAGCTCGCGCTTGGAGCTGCTGCGCCCTCCACTTCACCCAGCCTGCTGCGACGTGAGGCTGCGTCTGAAAACGCCACCTTAAACTGGGCTCTGCGTGAGGGAGAATGACCCAGGCAGCGCCGTCACCGTTACCACGCGTGTAGCACCGCTGCAGCAACTGCAAAACGTAAAAAACAAATAAACCCTTTTTATTTCCACTCAAGATTATTCGAGTAATTTTTATTGAAAATATAAGATCTACAAAGCCATGGATACCCAGCGTGGAAGAACTCATTAAGTTAGCACATTCATCTTTAAAAGGAAAATTTCAGGTTGACCTAAGGTACAATAATGTTCAATTTAAAATCTTGTCTTTCCTTCTGTGAGTTTCAAATCTCTTTTCATTAGGAGGTTCTGTGCAAGAGCTGCTTGTCATGAAAGGAAACACTTTACAATTCACGAATGTGTTCATTATATAATAAATGAACAGCAACAATATACTAGCCTTTTTTTTTCTCCTGTTAACAGTCGTGTGTTAAAGTAAACTCTTAATTTTTTTCCATGATTTGGAAATTAGTTACGTATGCACCAAAGGAGCTAGTAATTTCTGCTGCTTGTCAGCTACACACAAGGAGTATATTGCTGTGTGCTTTCCCCAACAACGAGGATTTTAGTAATATGCAAGGTGTAGATAACATAATACCAAAACCTGCATCACAGAAAAGGTTAATTGTTTTCGTATTCAGCTGCCAGAGTTTATAACCTTCGGCCCCTCCCCAAAGCCAAAGTAGGGGTGGCCCTCAATTAGGTTATTTAACTTAAAAGTATACATTTTCCTTGTTGGCAAGTTCCGAGCAGTAAGCGAGAGTGCAAACAAGGATTTGTAAGCTGCCACAAAATGTATTCATATTTCTACTCTGTGTTGTAAGAGCCAAAGGGAGGACACATGTCAAATGCTGAAAGAACAACTGAATCTTTGTTTTTGATCATGGTCAGTGTGTCATGAGGTCTTATACATGAATGCTAAAAATGGCACCACACTTGGACATCCCATAGCTTCGCACAGTACGTTTGTGTTTCCCTGGCTACCAAACGCTGGTCTCACAGAGACCCTGACTTCATCAGCTAACAAAATATAGATTTGGGTGCTGAAGAATTGAAGGGAGGGCTCATACAAAGACAATTCACCCTCGTACCAACACCTGATTTTAATGATTTGACTTACAGCCAGACTGAATCAGTTGTGAGAGGGCGAAGATACAAACACACCTCTCTGCTTCAGTTCTAAGAAGGGGGACAACTGACCATCCAAACAGAGAGTCTTGAAGGAAACAAAGCTTAGTTGTCCTTTGACAATGGAAAGGAGAGGCAAACATAAATGGTCACCAAGGCACAATATGACAAAGGTGAAGAGTCCCTGAGACTCTGGTCTGGGTCTGTACCATTCCCCTCCCTATACAAGTAAATGAGAACATTTAGGAAAATATAATACAAAATCTCTTACAGGAAATATAGACTACACTTGCTAAAATCACTTCCCTAAAAGTGTTTATAGCTTTTTTTTTTCTTTTTTTCTTTTTTTCTTTTTTTAAAAGACCTTCTTTAAACAGATAATGCAAAGACTGGTCCATTTTTCTTACCCGGCAAGCCAAGCTCTAATGACTTCACTAAGCAGAAGTTGTATTAAAATACATCTTCATAGTATTGCTACAATTTGGGTAAATATGTTCTGAACAGCTTGATGAGTACTAAATAAACTTTGCTGTTTTACAGCATACATTTTAATTTTTTGCACTTTTTTTTTAAGAATAGAAAATGCAATTATAGTGTGCAAAAGAAAAAAAAAAGATTAATTATCTCCTAGCTGAATACTGTAATCTTAAGCCATGCCTTCCATAAAAATGTATTGACATCTGTAAATAGGAAAAAAAAAAAAAAAAGCAAATGGTAATTTCATTTCCTTGCAAGGAAAGATGAACTATCACAATCTGGATCACTTGAGTTCTGTATTCTTCAAACAACGCAAAAAAAAAAAGAAAAGAAAAGAAAAAAAAAAACCCCAAACAAGTTTCTGCACTGAAATGCTTCAAATATCATCCATTCCACGGTAACAGGATAAAACTGCAGTGTCGCTTTCTACACAGCCTGTTAACATGGACAGAACGACTTGCTGCTGGTTGGATATTGAATACAAAAAAGCAAAAGAAAGTTGAGATCATCCCACATGAAGTCATTATTAGAGCTGGCTTTTCCCCCATTTTGAAGTACAGTAGTGACTTGTAAATATGATCTTTTCTAAAGATCATCTGAGATTTGACGATTTATCTGCCTGTTTCGCTCAAACAACTGCTGAAAGAATTTATACTATACAACCCACCATACAGCATTCAAAATGTTTTTTTTTCATGAAAAAATACCACAAGAAAAAGTAGTTTTAGTTTTTATATCTTTGAATCACTAACCACATTGTAGATTCCATTTATTCTTCGATGTCTGAAAGTGTGTCTGCAAAAACCAAAGAACTGTCAAACTTCCTTATGCCATCATATGCCTCCAACAGTTTGAATTTAATACTTCTTGAATGGAATGATGTACTTTATTTTCCTTAATTTGCAGTATGGCTACATCGAGCTAGCTTTAAGTCACAACTGTACCTAGCCACAGTTCTCTGCAGCAAACCCATGATTTACAATATCTAATATTGTGGTTACAGTGCAGGGAACCGTGGGTACGGAACCTCCATTTCAGAGTACTGTGGTTGGGGTTTCCCGGAAGAGTGGCAGTTGACACCTCTGGAATTTTCATATATAAGTGCTTCAGTCAGATGGTCCTGAGTCGAAGGGGTAACTCAGGCACTATGAGAGCCTGGCATTCAGTCTGCGGGAATGTGTGTAGCCTCCGTAACC